TCTATTATTTAATTTATTAGAATATTAATTCAATTAAATAATAGATATTGCCATACATATGCATTGATTATATATATTCAAAGTGTTTATGTCCAAAGTTGATTGGACCTAGGGCATAACACTTACAGAAAAAACGTTGTTTTTACAGTATGAAAGGCTCACTTTCGAGGTGCAGCTGAAGTATACCATGCTATGGAGGAGCCTGTTGGAGACAAGCTACCAAGCACAATCGAAATTGGTGACAAAGCTTGTTTAACAAAAGCGACGCTGGGGCTGGAGCCAAGGTTGGAGTATTCATAACGTGCTAAAGAAGTTTCTGTAGCATAATTTGCAAGTCTTTTTTTCACATATAATACTCGACTGGTTTGCATATGTATTCTACATTAAGGAAGACGTCTTAAGCTAAGTCCAAATAAAATAGAAAGTTCAAATAAAAATTAAATATGAATATGAATATGAATATGAAGAAAGTATAATGAGTAAAATTTTTGTCTATAAGTACACGCAAATTAACAAAAAATAAAAAATATAGCACTACTAAGCCCCTGTTTGACACCCATTTTGAGAAAAAATAAATTCTGGAATAGTGACTGATAGAAGAATGTGTGGTTGAAAAGTAATGAAAATTTTTGGGTTTATAGTATTATTTTATTGATAGAATGTGTGGTTGAAATGAAAAAAGAGAAAAAAAATGAGAATGAGAAAAAATGGGTGTTAAACTATTTTCCATGCGAAAATTCGAGTCCTCTTATAACGGATAGAAGAATGTGTGGTTGAAAAGTAATGAAAATTTTTGGGTTTATAGTATTATTTTATTGATAGAATGTGTGGTTGAAATGAAGAAAGAGAAAAAAATGAGAATGAAAGGAAAATGGGTGTCAAACGGGGGCTAAATCTCACTTGTACAGTAGTTGCACAATGTTTACATGCTCTTAGGCATCCCACCACGCTTCCACCATGTTCTATGAAAACATTTCATAATTATTAGATGTTTGGTTGATTTGAACTAATATATGCAATGGGTTACAGAACCATGCTTTGATACCAATAAAATGTACCATTCAAAGCCCTCAAAAATGTGTTAATGCTCCTAGAAATATGCGTTTCTTACGCATATTTGAAACTGATTGAAATATAACCAATGGAAAAGGGTCAATGATGGATTGAAATGTGCGTTTCTTACGCATTTGCGATCATTGGGACCATGCTGTAAAACACTTAAAATGTACCACTCAAGCCTCCCAAAATAATATTAATATTCGTTCAGTTGCAAAATGAAAATGTGTTAATAGTCCCTAGAATTAATTAGCGATCACACCCTCCGAGTGTTTCAAGAATTCATTTGCATTAAGTCCTACGACAATATAAAACATGAAAAAGAACTCAATATTTAGAAAGTATTGTGGTGTACGTGCATGCTTGACATCCTCTAGGCCACACAATCCTCTATTGCTTACTGTACTTGGGAGAAAACTGGAGGGGTGTGTTAAGCTACCAAATGGTTTTTCTTTGAGTTTCGTAAACACTGAAATCAGGATTTTTCACTGGTTTTTCCGAGAAAAATTAGCCGAGAGAGATGGGGAATGGGGTGGTAAGGTAGCGGTGTGTTAATATCCTTTTCTTTTTATTATTTGTTTGGCGAAATAAAATTATTTTGTTTGTTAAATTATTGTTTTCAGAAAAAGAAGGAAGCAAATAACATGTTACAACCTGCATAATTATCAAAGCTGAACTTACCACATAAACAGCTCTGCTATTTTCACTACTTGTTTGTATGCAACCATTATATATATGTACATCCCCCATTATCATAAAATCATTGTGCAATTCGAACACGACACAGATTTTAAAGTCAGCTATTCGTTCAGGATTGTGACCATTAATCCATTAGTATGTATTAGAATTTTCAGTCAGCTAGGCTCACTAGTGATAATGAATTTGATTTCAGAAATGGCAACAACAGATGAAATTGAAAAAGTTTCAAAAGGTTTGGGGATGGAGAAAGCACGTTGTTCGACCAGCACGAGAGGCTGACTTTTGATGTGCAACTGAAGTAAGCCATGCTAGGGAAGAGCCTGTCGGAGCCATGCTATCAAGCGCAGTCGGAATTGGTGCTGAAGCTTGTTCAACAAATGCAGCACTGTGGCTACATCCGAGATTAGAGACTCAAAAGGTGCTAAATGAGTTTCTGATGCCTAATAAGAGAGCAACAATATATTTTCTAAATTCAAAAGGGAAAATATTCTGCCATCAGTCCATCTGCAATTAGTATGTGATTTCTTGATTTGATCTGTTATGCATACTTTCCTTAGAGAAACATTTTCTATTTCAAATTAGTGGATTCAATTCAATATTATAATGCTTGATTTGATCTGTTATGCATACTTTCCTTAGGGACATTAACACATTTTTGTTTTGCGAGTATAATTTTTGAGGGCTTGAATGGTACATTTTAATTGGTATCAGAGCATGATTCTGCGACCGGTTCAATTCAACCAAATATCTAGTAATTATGAAATATTTTCATAGAACACTGCGGAAGCATGGTGGGATGCCTAAGATCGTGTAAACTTCGTGCAGCTACTGTGCAAGTGAGATTCAGTAGTGCTATATTTTTTTGTTTCTATTGTTTTCTGTTAATTTGTGTGTACTTAATAGATAAAATTTTTACTCGTTATGCTTTCTTCATATTCATATTTAATTTTTATTTGAACTTTCTATTTAATTCGAACTTACCTTAAGACGTCTTTATTAATGTTGAATATGTATGCAAACCGGTCGAGTATTAAATATGATAAAAAAAAAAAAAGACTTCCATGCGACAAAATTCCTCTTAGACTATTACAACTAGCATTATAAATGTAGCTATCCTATTATGGAATTGAATTTGCAATGGTAAATGTTTCTCTAACAGATCAAATCAAGCATTAACACACTAAATTGCAGATGTATTGATGGCAGAATATTTCCCTTTTGAAACTAGGAAATGTTTAGTTTTTTCTCTTATTAGGCATCAGAAACTTCTTTAGCACTTTCTGAGTACTCCAATCTCAGATGATGCCCCAGCGCAGCTTTTGTTGAACAGGCTTAGGCACCAATTCCAATTGCGCATGGCTGGCTTCAGCTTCACCTTGAAAATCAGCCTCTCATACCAGTCGAAGACCGTGCTTTCTTCATCCCCAAACCTTTTGAAAATATTTTCAATTTCATCTGTTCCATTTCTCAAGAGAACTCGTTATCCCTCGACAAAGCCTAGCCGATTGGACATTCAAATACATACAACGGGATTAATGGCCACAATCATGAAGGAATAGTTGACCAGAAAACATGTGTTGTGTTCGAATTACACAATGATTTTGTGATATACACATATAATGGTTGCATACTGACTAGTAATGAATTTAGAACAGCTGTTTATGTCGTAAGTTTGGCTTTAATAATTAGGAAGGTTGTTCCATTTTAATTAGTATTATTTAAATTAGGGTAAATTGCAAATTTAGTCTCTAACCTTTGGCCAAAATTTGCATCTTTGTCCTTAACCTTTTCTTAGCATAGTTCTTTTCTCCAACCTTGGAAAAATTAGTATATTAAAGACTTGTTAATGGATTCCAGTCTACTCACTATTTGTCCCTCTTTTTCCGTAAAAACAATAATTTAACAAACAAAATAAATAAAATTTACTAATCAAATTTTAAAAACAAAAAGGAAAAGATATAAACTTAACGCTACCGTACCACCCCATTCCCCTTCCCTCAACTAATATTTCTCAGAAAAACCAGGGAGAAATTCCATTGTTGATGAAACTCGAGGAAAAACTTTTTGGTAGCATAACACACCCCGACTGTTTTCTCCCTAGTGTGGTGGCCACAACTAGGTAGGAAAATGCCCTAGTTTTTTAGTATTTAGTACACAATAGAAGATTGTGAGGCCTAGTAGATTTCGAGCATGCATGTACACCACGATACTTAGGCTATGTTTGATTGGCCAATTTTTTCCATGGAAAATGGAATCCAAATTCTGTTTCCCACTTTTAGCTTGTTTGATGGCTCTTTTTTTCCATGAAAATCATTTTCTTACTCTGCCATCACGTGACTGATTTTCTTGGTTTTTGGTGAATTGGTTTTCCCACCTTTTAGGTGGTTTTTTGTTTTCCATCTTTTTTTTTTTTTTTTGTGCAATTGGAAAAAATTCTAGACACAATAGTAAAAAAAATTATCACTTTTATTGACAATTTTCATGCAAAACAAAGTCAAACAAATGGTATTCGGTATGGTAACTTTTTTAAATTTAAAAAAATAATAATAATAATTTTTTGCAACGGGAACAAATTCTAGACCCAATGGTAAAAAAAAAAATTATTACTTTAATGGACAATTTCCATGAAAAACGAAGCCAAACAAATACCAAACTTTCAACATTTTCTAGGTGAAAAATTACACCAATCAAACACAATTAATTACAACTCCCAGTAAAACAAATTTTAGACAATTCAATTCCCCGCAATTCATTTTCTTTCCACCCAAATTCCACATTTGCAATCAAACAGACTCTTACTTACTGAATGTAGAGAGAAATTTTGGTGGATGCTAGAACTGTGCAATAAAAGAGACTAGCGTAGACTGCTCAGATATATCATTTTTGTACAAGTAGAAGAGCTTGCTATATATAACTATTTTGGACTCCAACAGGCTTTTTTCCTATGTGGATTCGAGAAAATGTTCTGCAGCTATTCATTGTATACAAGCTTCTGATGTTAGACTGAAGATGTATCCATTCGAGAAAAATATCAATATAATACTGTATAGTATAATCTAGTACCCTGTACTAAACATGCATTGCCTCTATTAGACGTGCATACATGTTCAAGCCCCACTAAGCGTTTTACAGAGCTCAGACAGGAAATCAAATTTCAGTTCAACATTTTCTAGGCTCTCTATGTGGCACCACCCCTCTTTTCACTGCTAAACCATATACAGTACGAGCACCTAATGACCTTCCTTGTCTATTCAACTCATTAATCAAAATGTTGAATGGAATTCTGCTGGCCTTCCTGTCTTTGTGAATTAGCATCAAAACTGATAATGCCTTTTCAACATTACCATCCATACCAAGTGCTCGGACAACAACATTGAACGTGATTGTCCTTGGAGAATATCCAGTCCTAATCATCTCGTCTAAAATCTCAAATGCTTTATCATTCACTTTTCCATTGCAAAAGGCTTCAACCACTAGATCATATGTACTAGAGTATATAGCAAAATCTTCATTCTTCATTTTCTCAAACACTTCATACACATCATTCAGCAGAATGTTGTCTTTTCGCGAACTCCTGCACAACCTTCTCAACAAGGTGTTTGTCATCCTCTCATCGACTTGAAAACCGATCCCTATCATCTCTTTATACATCCCCAAAGCAGCCTTCGTTTCACCCCATTTCAACATTCCATGTAACAATGTACTATAACTTATGAAATCTGGCTTGTAATTCCTCTCCTTCATTTGCTTCAACAAACCAATACCAGCCAAAGGCCTTCCCTCCTTAAAGTAACCATTAAACAGAGTATTGTAAGTGACTGCATTTGGTGTCAACCCCATTTCTAAAGCTTCATCAAGCAATTCCAATGCCTCATTTGATCTGCCCACTTTGCAAAAACCATCCATCACCGCAGTGTAAGTATAAATATCTGGTTTGAACAAAGATTTCTTGACATTCAATAGCAATTCATAGGCTTCCTCCACTCTCCCCACATAGCACAGCCCCTTCAACAAGCAATTATATGTATTGATTGTTGGTTCACATCCAATTTTAGCCATTATATCAAACACCTCATAGGCATCCTGCAATCTTCCTTTTTGACAGAACGAATTGATCAATGTAGTGAATGTAGCAACATTGGGTTGGAACCCATTTTCCAGCATACGATCCAAAACTGTTTTCGCTTCGTTTGGCTCATTCGTCTTGCAGTAACTAGTCACCAAAATTGAGTATGTGCAACTATCAGGGTCTAAACCGAAAGAGGATAATTTGGACTTCAATTTCGATGCTAATTCAAACTCATCTGCTGTGACCAAAGCCATAAGCAAATAGTTGAATTCTGATATGGTTCGTAATCTGCCCTCTCTCTGGAATTTATCCACAGCTTCATTTTTCTGAGAAGTGGGAACTGCCACAACTGTTTCAAGAAAATCTTGGAACTTTGGCGAAATAGGGGTACCTTTTGGGCTTTGAGTAGAGGTAGGAAGTGCAGCAGAAATGAAAAAATTACCTTGCTGAGATCTGTTGCTAGTGAAAAATAATGGGGAATTCTGCGCAGGTAGTAGAGCCGAAGTGTGAAGAGGACAATAAACTGGATGTAATGAAGATGCTGGACAAGAAAACATGGCAGGCAAGGTGAGGGGATGATATACTTCAATTGCCTCTTATTTTTGGTTGAAATTCAAAGCTATAAACGTACAAGTGGATAAAATAGAGATGTATTATTGAAAGATAGGGGTGTCACAATGGGTCCGGATGACTCATTAAGAAATGAATTGAAGTCAAATTGAATCGGTCCATGAGTTGGTCTGTGTTAAAAAATGACCCGTGCCATGCTTGATAGTCTAACTTGAAAACCAATATGGGTCGACCCACTTGGCCTAATTATTAAAAAAGTAAAATTAAATTAACTACGACTTTCTAATTTCTCAAACTTAGAATTTACTTTCAAATTTACATCTTCATTATATTTTGAGGAATGAAAGTGGAATTTCGATAAATTAAAAAAACAAATCAAAATTATCAAGTCAATTCTCTTGGTAGTGGGCCAAGCTAAGCCCTTCATTTGACCATTACTAAGAAGGGCAAAATAGTCCCCCCAATATTTTCTCAATTTGAAAATTAAACTGATTAAAAAGAACAAAAAATAAGAAAATTATTAAAAATTAACAACAGGGATTTCCATTGGCCAGCACCACCCCTACCAAAGATCAAAAAATCCAGTTTGGTTATGTCAACAAAACCAAGTTTTCGGGTTTCACGATGATTTATCATTTATGCTAGTCAATGGATAGTTGAACATAACAACTAGATGAAAAGAAGTTGGAGAAATGAGTGTGGCAATGAGCAAAGGTGAGAGACCTTCATTGCAATTAGAATGTGGCATAAATATTAGGTACCCATTAGGAAAACTCGAGAGTGAGAAATTTCCCGTCCCACGTTGTCGGTTAGAGACCTTCAGAACGTGGCATAACAAGCAAAAGTTGTGTATGAATATTAGTTCAACCAAATACTACTTTTATATTTAAGAAAAACAATTTACTAAATTTTATTTCATTGACAGGAATTTACTGTACACATTTAAATAGAACAAATGCCACTATCCCAACTTCATCTCCAAAAAATTCAACCACCAAAACTTTAACCTACATTATACACTAGATAGTCTTTCAATACATAATACAATAATCTCCAGATGTACTTGAACTAGTTTGATCTTCATATTCTTGACCAATAAACAAAGCAACATCATCAGTAAAAGTGGAAGCCCAATGATTTCGAGCATAATTGCAAATTTGCACTCTTATATCTACTCTTGGACACACATCTTTTCCCATCTCTCACTATTCTTTCACTTTTTTAACATGTCCTTTGAAGAGTGAACTAAAGATAGCATTCCTTGCACGATTGTGGCAACAACCTATATTAACAAAATACGGAGTACAATGTCATGATGTACTTTCTCTTATGAGCTTTCAATACTTACCGTCGGTAATTATGTAAATTTTGCGAAGAGAATTGAATGAGCGATTTTGATGCATATGACATGTACTCGAAAATGTTGTCACACAATTAATTTATAGATTATCAAGATCATATGCAATAGAATCGTGTTTGAATAGACAAGTAATATTGTTCACTACAAATGAATAGTAACATTCCATCTGTACTCTCAGGGGGAATTATTTTTTTGAAAAAAGGCAAATCAATTAGTGTTAAGAATATTTTACGATTATCATATGATTGTGATTATCTTAAAATAATTAAGATAGTTGGACTTCATTAAAAAATAAATTATCCATAATGTCCATGGCCCACCTAAGCCCTTATATAAACTTACAAGTGTTGTACATATAGTAGCATTTATGAATCCTCTTAGTCATTATAAATGTTATATCCGTTATAGTCCTAATTCTTCCCTATAAATATAGGCATTTAGTTCATGTGTCTTATGTACCAAAATTAATTTGGTGACACATGAGTTTTTTTTTTTTTCAATTCATGCATCCAATTAATGTTTTTGTATTTTTTTTATGAAATTAAAGTGTTATCGACAACTTTTTCTTTTTCGATTCTATTATTTTTTATAATGACATAACTTATTGAAATATTTCAAATTTTATTATTTCAAGTACATGAATCTCTTCTAGAGTTTTATAATTTGTTATGTCTAAATACTCATCAACTTCGTTTAGAGATTCTTATATTAAAATTAAATATCATTACCTTCAGGTATGCCATCAAATATAATATTAACTAATTGTCTTCTAGGACGTTAATTTGAGTTTGAGCATTTAAAGTTGGTGTGTGAGATATTGTTAATCTATTTGGTCAGTAAATACATCTAAATGAATTATCTTTCGAACACTTGGTTAGAATTATCTTTTGTGATAATTTAGATAATGATGCATTTATATATTATTTACAATTTCTTAATTCTTCTCCCTAATGTTTAAATAATTGTCCACTTAAATTGACAATCAACAAACCACTTTATAAAATATCATTCATTAGAGATAAAAAAATAAAAATAAAAAATCAAACTACTCATTTATTCTCAACATTCTTTATTTTTCATTTCAGTGCATTATGATGAATCAATTTTACATATATTGGACCATCGAAATAATTTGATAAAAAATTAGGCTATGGCCATAAGCCAAGTTATAACTTGGAGAGCTAGGATATTGGCATGACGCGTAATGGTTTTACCTAAACAAAAATGGGAGGTATTTTGGTTTCAATTAGATTATTTGGAAGCGTTTAACAAACAATAGTGTTAAACCATTTATTGACATTTCAAATAACACTGATTAAAAAGTTGAAATTTAGGATCGCTAGCATTAACAAGATACACCGTCTTAATTGTATAATCTGAAAATTATACCCATAAGTTGAATAGTAATTTCTCAAATTTCAGGTTGCGAACGTCATGCAATCATCTAGTATATATATCATATTAGATACAAATAATATCTAGACGGTCAACGTGAAGGGTGACAGGGGCATATATATCACCCTAATTAATTTTTCAGAAATATAGAGAATTGAATCCCTATTTAGCTAGTCATGACCTATTTTCATAATATCATATAGATTTTCATTGAATTGAAGAATTTTCTGGTTCTTTATTGAATACCCATTTGAATTTTTAAGTTTGCATCATTATTGGTCCAGTGATGGTCCAACTAACTATGCCAAACAATAAAATCAAATAAAGCTTCTGATTCAATATAAAATATAATTCAATAATTTAATTTCGAAAAATATGATAAAATATTATATAACCATATAATAATCAATCAAGTATACAAACTAATCAATGTCAACATGAAATGAGTTATATGTTTTCTTTCAAGGATAAATATGAATTCAAAATAATATATTCTTTGAAATTGTGGCACTTCGAACGCGCGTTATCTTTTATTATTGCTTATTCGAAAAAAATATGTCAATAGTCATCTGGAATATTGAAAATTATAATTCACACTCTCATGAGCAATCAAATATTACTATAATAAATTATGCAAAGATTTATTATTCATGAGTAAAAATATAGTTTACGTTAGATCGTATTTAACTATGCTCTTTGGGAGCAAATAAAACATAACTAGAATATTTGTCAATAATACTATTCTACTTTAGAAATATCAATAAACTATTATTTAAAAATATTAACTTTAAGGGACTATGTTATCTATCATATATTAATATTTGCAGAGTTTTACTTCTTCAAGAGTATCGATAAGTTATTATTATATGATATTTATCTGTATAAAGTTATGCTCTTCTGGAGCAATAAACATAATATTCTTCTAAAATATTAATTAATATTGTACTAGTTGTGCAACAAATAATGCGAATATAATATTCCCTTTTAACAATATTACAATATTCTTCTGAAATATTACTGTAGATAATTTGGTTTCATTATTGATTAACCAAATAGATACATAAACAATGTTATTGTTAAATTTACATTAAATTCACACAAACAGGATACACAAATAGGATATGATATACATACAGAATAATCATGATTTATAATACAATAAAATAATCACGATTGATTAGTACATACATTAATGAAATAATCATTATACATACAATAAAATAAAAACTAGAACAGTTATGCATAATTCATGTATCTCTATGTTTACTTATATTACATCATATAGCGAGGAATCGAAATAAGTGCGTCGAAATATATCGATCGAAGTAATGATTGGCCAAATAAAAAGGATGCTATCCTAAATTGAATTTATAAGAGAAACCTGGAATTTCTGAACGCGATCCTAGTAAAATTGAGTTTATTAGAGAAATATGAAGTTTTTGTGTTTATACTTTGAATACCTAAAGATGTATACTTATACGAAATGAAAATGGAAAAGTAAAGTCATAATATGAAATGTACAACTCTTTACATAGTGAATTTCACGACATGTGGCCAATGTAAACACAAGTCTTTACCTTGTCAGGGTGACAATGCACGAAATTTGATATGCATGTAATAAATGTGATTATAGACAATTTATCATATATAGTTTTCGATATTATCCTATAAGGATTTAATATGCTTGAAGTATAATGTAAGTGATATTATCCCATTGATCGAGGTCTGTCCCAATGGTTTTCTTGATCGAGGTCTGTCCAATTGGATTTTCTTGACAAAGTTTTCAATGAGACAATATTTATGGCGTATTCAAAAGAATAAATGTACTCCTTTTCATTCATTATGATTTTTCCCACATGATTTTTTCTAGTAAGATTTTAACGAGTCATATTTTTTATATAATGAATGTCCATAATCTAAAAAATATTTACTCTCAAAATAATACTCTTATATGTACGAGACTCTGAAGAGATCAATGAGAGTTATTTTGAATAATCATGTACTACAGTTATGAAGTTTTGTTCTATTGGATTTTTCTGAAGATATTGAAAGATATTGAAATACGAGACACAGATCGTTTGATGCAAGAATTGAAATTAAGGGGAGTAGTTGTACTCTTTTTTCTTCAAATTATTTTTACTCTTTTTTTCATTTGTTGACATTTTTGTCCCATCGAATTTTTGCTAAATAATATTTCAATGAGATAATTATTATATATATAGTCATTCAAAT